CTGCTGCATCAAGATGGCCTCCTGCTGCTGCATCAAGATGGCCTCCTGCTGCTGCATCAAGATGGCCTCCTGCTGCTGCATCAAGATGGCCTCCTGCTGCTGCCTCAAGATGGCCTCCTGCTGCTGCATCAAGATGGCCTCCTCCTGCTGCATCAAGATGGCCTCCTGCTGCTGCATCAAGATGGCCTCCTGCTGCTGCATCAAGATGGCCTCCTGCTGCTGCATCAAGATGGCCTCCTGCTGCTGCCTCAAGATGGCCTCCTGCTGCTGCATCAAGATGGCCTCCTCCTGCTGCATCAAGATGGCCTCCTGCTGCTGCTAAGTTCAAACAAGATTTTTACTCAACAGAAATAAACTTATAATCAGAAACTGAAAAAAAATACATACTGGTAAATTTGTGCCCTATATATTACACTTAAGGAATGTTCATGAAGGATTTTTATAATACGAACAGAGAACCACAAAATTTTTGATCAATGTTTACGTATGGGATACAGACATAAACGTTACAAGTAGGCGACCAGCCTACTATTTTTGATATTGTTTACAGAATTTTTTCCAGTTTGTAAATGATCTCTGGTCATATAAAATAGCCAGAGATTATACTGTAAGATTATGTAAATGAATTAGAGAACCATAGAATTTTTGATCAATGTTTACGTATGGGATACAGACATAAACGTTACATGTAGGCGACCAGCCTACTATTTTTGATATTGTTTACAGAATTTTTTCCAGTTTGTAAATGATCTCTGGTCATATAAAATAGCCAGAGATTATACTGTAAGATTATGTAAATGAATTAGAACAGTTATTACACATATTAGGAAAGTTTTTTTAAAATCTAATTATCAAAGTTTCTCGTCTATGTTTATCAAAATCACTGACGTGTGCAAGCAACATGATTTTCAAAGTCAAAATCACACGAATTTCTAATTCAAAACAGCACGATGAAACAGTCTGGTCATTATTATACAGTTTCCACACACGCAGGAACTGTGACTCGACCCCTGCAGCCACGAATAGGTGAGTCCACACACACAATTGGAAGTTGAAGACTCAGATGAGTCACAGGGATGTTAGGAAGTATTTCTTCAGCCACAGAGTTGTCAGGAAGTTGAACGATATGGAGAGTGATGTAGTGGAGGAAGGATCCATACATAGCTTTAAGAAGAGGTATGATAAAGCTAACGGAGCAGGGAGAAAGTGGACCTAGTAGTAACCAGTGAAGAGGCGGGGCCAGGAGCTATAAATCGACCTCTGCAACCACAATTAGGTGAGTACACAGGGTTGGAGTCACTCTGGTGGTAACCACAGGTGAACATACCCTGTAAGTGACCACCTTGTGCCTGGTAGTCTAGCATAACAGTGTGGCACTCACACTGAGTGACCACCTTGTGCCTGGTAGTCTAGCATAACAGTGTGGCACTCACACTGTGTGACAACCTTGTTCCTGGTAGTCTAGCATAACAGTGTGTGGCACTCACACTGAGTGACCACCTTGTACCTGGTAGTCTAACATAACAGTGTGGCACTCACACTGAGTGACCACCTTGTGCCTGGTAGTCTAGCATAACAGTGTGGCACTCACACTGAGTGACCACCTTGTACCTGGTAGTCTAACATAACAGTGTGGCACTCACACTGAGTGACCACCTTGTGCCTGGTAGTCTAACATAACAGTGTGGCACTCACACTGAGTGACCACCTTGTGCCTGGTAGTCTAGCATAACAGTGTGGCACTCACACTGTGTGACCACCTTGTGCCTGGTAGTCTAGCATAACAGTGTGTGGCACTCACACTGAGTGACCACCTTGTACCTGGTAGTCTAACATAACAGTGTGGCACTCACACTGAGTGACCACCTTGTGCCTGGTAGTCTAACATAACAGTGTGGCACTCACACTGAGTGACCACCTTGTACCTGGTAGTCTAGCATAACAGTGTGGCACTCACACTGAGTGACAACCTTGTGCCTGGTAGTCTAGCATAACAGTGTGGCACTCACACTGAGTGACAACCTTGTACCTGGTAGTCTAACATAACAGTGTGGCACTCACACTGAGTGACAACCTTGTTCCTGGTAGTCTAGCATAACAGTGTGGCACTCACACTGAGTGACAACCTTGTGCCTGGTAGTATAGCATAACAGTGTGGCACTCACACTGAGTGACAACCTTGTGCCTGGTAGTCTAGCATAACAGTGTGGCACTCACACTGAGTGACAACCTTGTGCCTGGTAGTATAGCATAACAGTGTGGCACTCACACTGAGTGACAACCTTGTGCCTGGTAGTCTAGCATAACAGTGTGTGGCACTCACACTGTGTGACCACCCTGTTCCTGGTAGTCTAGCATAACAGTGTGGCACTCACACTGAGTGACAACCTTGTACCTGGTAGTCTAGCATAACAGTGTGTGGCACTCACACTGTGTGACCACCCTGTTCCTGGTAGTCTAGTCACAACAGTACGTGGCACTCACACTAAGTGGGTGACCACCTTGTCTCTGGCAGTAAGTCTAGCCACAACAGTACGTGGGACTCACACTAAGTGGGTGACCACCTTGTCTCTGGCAGTAAGTCTAGCCACAACAGTACGTGGGACTCACACTAAGTGGGTGACCACCTTGTCTCTGGCAGTAAGTCTAGCCACAACAGTACGTGGGACTCACACTAAGTGAGTGACCACCTTGTCTCTGGCAGTAAGTCTAGCCACAACAGTACGTGGGACTCACACTAAGTGGGTGACCACCTTGTCTCTGGCAGTAAGTCTAGCCACAACAGTACGTGGCACTCACACTAAGTGAGTGACCACCTTGTCTCTGGCAGTAAGTCTAGCCACAACAGTACGTGGCACTCACACTAAGTGGGTGACCACCTTGTCTCTGGCAGTAAGTCTAGCCACAACAGTACGTGGGACTCACACTAAGTGAGTGACCACCTTGTCTCTGGCAGTAAGTCTAGCCACAACAGTACGTGGGACTCACACTAAGTGAGTGACCACCTTGTCTCTGGCAGTAAGTCTAGCCACAACAGTACGTGGGACTCACACTAAGTGAGTGACCACCTTGTCTCTGGCAGTAAGTCTAGCCACAACAGTACGTGGGACTCACACTAAGTGGGTGACCACCTTGTCTCTGGCAGTAAGTCTAGCCACAACAGTACGTGGGACTCACACTAAGTGAGTGACCACCTTGTCTCTGGCAGTAAGTCTAGCCACAACAGTACGTGGGACTCACACTAAGTGGGTGACCACCTTGTCTCTGGCAGTAAGTCTAGCCACAACAGTACGTGGCACTCACACTAAGTGAGTGACCACCTTGTCTCTGGCAGTAAGTCTAGCCACAACAGTACGTGGCACTCACACTAAGTGGGTGACCACCTTGTCTCTGGCAGTAAGTCTAGCCACAACAGTACGTGGGACTCACACTAAGTGAGTGACCACCTTGTCTCTGGCAGTAAGTCTAGCCACAACAGTACGTGGGACTCACACTAAGTGAGTGACCACCTTGTCTCTGGCAGTAAGTCTAGCCACAACAGTACGTGGGACTCACACTAAGTGAGTGACCACCTTGTCTTTGGCAGTAAGTCTAGCCACAACAGTACGTGGCACTCACACTAAGTGAGTGACCACCTTGTCTCTGGCAGTAAATCTAGCCACAGCAGTACGTGGGACTCACACTAAGTGAGTGACCACCTTGTCTCTGGCAGTAAGTCTAGCCACAACAGTACGTGGGACTCACACTAAGTGAGTGACCACCTTGTCTCTGGCAGTAAGTCTAGCCACAACAGTACGTGGCACTCACACTAAGTGAGTGACCACCTTGTCTCTGGCAGTAAGTCTAGCCACAACAGTACGTGGGACTCACACTAAGTGAGTGACCACCTTGTCTCTGGCAGTAAGTCTAGCCACAACAGTACGTGGCACTCACACTAAGTGAGTGACCACCTTGTCTCTGGCAGTAAGTCTAGCCACAACAGTACGTGGGACTCACACTAAGTGGGTGACCACCTTGTCTCTGGCAGTAAGTCTAGCCACAACAGTACGTGGGACTCACACTAAGTGAGTGACCACCTTGTCTCTGGCAGTAAGTCTAGCCACAACAGTACGTGGCACTCACACTAAGTGAGTGACCACCTTGTCTCTGGCAGTAAGTCTAGCCACAACAGTACGTGGGACTCACACTAAGTGAGTGACCACCTTGTCTCTGGCAGTAAGTCTAGCCACAACAGTACGTGGGACTCACACTACGTGGGTGACCACCTTGTCTCTGGCAGTAAGTCTAGCCACAACAGTACGTGGGACTCACACTAAGTGAGTGACCACCTTGTCTCTGGCAGTAAGTCTAGCCACAACAGTACGTGGCACTCACACTAAGTGGGTGACCACCTTGTCTCTGGCAGTAAGTCTAGCCACAACAGTACGTGGGACTCACACTAAGTGAGTGACCACCTTGTCTCTGGCAGTAAGTCTAGCCACAACAGTACGTGGGACTCACACTAAGTGAGTGACCACCTTGTCTCTGGCAGTAAGTCTAGCCACAACAGTACGTGGGACTCACACTAAGTGAGTGACCACCTTGTCTCTGGCAGTAAGTCTAGCCACAACAGTACGTGGCACTCACACTAAGTGAGTGACCACCTTGTCTCTGGCAGTAAGTCTAGCCACAACAGTACGTGGGACTCACACTAAGTGAGTGACCACCTTGTCTCTGGCAGTAAGTCTAGCCACAACAGTACGTGGGACTCACACTAAGTGAGTGACCACCTTGTCTCTGGCAGTAAGTCTAGCCACAACAGTACGTGGGACTCACACTAAGTGAGTGACCACCTTGTCTCTGGCAGTAAGTCTAGCCACAACAGTACGTGGCACTCACACTAAGTGAGTGACCACCTTGTCTCTGGCAGTAAGTCTAGCCACAACAGTACGTGGGACTCACACTAAGTGAGTGACCACCTTGTCTCTGGCAGTAAGTCTAGCCACAACAGTACGTGGCACTCACACTAAGTGAGTGACCACCTTGTCTCTGGCAGTAAGTCTAGCCACAACAGTGGGTCTATGGGACCTTGACAGCCGCGTCTGCCACAAGCGACAAGTCAACAGATCACAGGAGGAGGTGCGGAACTTACGACTCATGAAAGTATACAGAATGGGATTAACAGCAGAATTAGCATACATGAGGAGGAATGTAACTGGAGTGAGGATATAGGAGGCGTGAGAGTTGTGGTTATAATTGCTCCAGTAATACTGGAGCATTTTGCGTGTGTGGAAGGGCAGGGAACACGCAGCAAAACTTACTACGACAACTACCAGCATGTTTATGACCTTGCGACGCGCCCTTAGGACTAAGGGAGAAGGGTGGAGGTGTAGGGTACGTCTGGGTATTCTCTGAGAGGCGCCCCTCCTGCTTCTACCCGCACCATCTACCCGCATGTTGGATAGCGGGGTTAGAGGGATGACATCCGGTGCTGGCTGGTGGATGCGCGACCCTTCATCTCTCACCGAAGCGATGGAGACGTACGTTGACATGATGGACTTGACGGAGCCTCGAGTGACATGAATCTTCTTTTCTCTGCCTTGGTTTATCACAGGGCTGCCTCCACCTCCCCCCTCCACTCCAGCACCTGCCACTCCCCCGCTACTGGAGGTGGAGCTGACGGAGGCTGTGTGCTGCGTCTTGAAGGCCCCGTACTCCACAGCCGCTGTCACCTCTGCGGCGTGAGGTGATGTGGCAGCCGCCAGAAGACGCCCAGAGCGCCACAGAGTGTGAGCGATGCGGGCGTAGAGCAGTGACAGCAGAACCAGGGGCAGGAGGTACAGTAAAGTCAGACTGGCCACGTCCCAAATGCGGGTATCGAACTGGTCCCTCCGTAGCAGACACATAGCTTCTGTACGCCCTCCTTCCACTGGGTATTCCTGCACCTGCAACACACCACAATGTACTGACGAGAGAACATTATGTGCTCTCTGATAACGAGTCAGTCTTTACGCTAGAAGGCGGTGGATCAAGCCTGCAACACTACCAGTGTTCTGTGACACACACATGGACGGTGGATCAAGCCTGCAACACTACCAGTGTTCTGTGACACACACATGGACGGTGTATCAAGCCTGAAACACTATCAGTGTTGTACAACACACTCATGGACGGTGTATCAAGCCTGCAACACTACCAGTGTTGTGTGATACACTCATGGACGGTGTCTCAAGCCTGCAACACTACCAGTGTTGTGTGATACACTCATGAATGGTGTATCAAGCCTGTAACACTACCAGTGTTGTGTGATACACACATGGACAGTGTATCAAGCCTGCAACACTACCAGTGTTGCGTGACACACACATGGACGGTGTATCAAGCCTGCAACACTACCAGTGTTGTGTGACACACACAAATGGACAGTGTATCAAGCCTGCAACACTACCAGCGTTATGTGACACACACATGGACGGTGTATCAAGTCTGCAACACTACCAGTGTTGTGCAACACACACAGTGTATCAAGCCTGCAACACTACCAGTGTTGTGCAACACACACAATGTATCAAGCCTGCAACACTACCAGTGTTGTGCAACACACACAGTGTATCAAGCCTGCAACACTACCAGTGTTGTGTAACACACAAAGACAGTGTATCAAGCCTGCAACACTACCAGTGTTGTGTAACACACAAAGACAGTGTACCAAGCCTGCAACACTACCAGTGTTGTGCAACACACACAATGTATCAAGCCTGCAACACTACCAGTGTTGTGCAACACACACAATGTATCAAGCCTGCAACACTACCAGTGTTGTGCAACACACACAATGTATCAAGCCTGAAACACTACCAGTGTTGTGTAACACACACAATGTATCAAGCCTGAAACACTACCAGTGTTGTGTAACACACACAGGCAGTGTACAAAGTATGCAACACTGACCAATGTTGTGCAACACTGACCAGCGTTGTGCAATACTCCCAGACAGTGCATCAAGCCTGCAACACTACCAGTGTTGCGCAACACACACAGTGTACCAAGCCTGCAACACTACCAGTGTTGCGCAACACACACCCAGACGGTGTACCAAGCCTGCAACACTACCAGTGTTGCGCAACACGCACCCAGACAGTGTACCAAGCCTGCAACACTACCAGTGTCATGCAACACACACCCAGACAGTGTACCAAGCCTGCAACACTACCAGTGTTGTGCAACACACACAGTGTACCAAGCCTGCAACACTACCAGTGTTGCGCAACACACACCCAGACGGTGTACCAAGCCTGCAACACCACCAGTGTTGCGCAACACGCACCCAGACAGTGTACCAAGCCTGCAACACTACCAGTGTCATGCAACACACACCCAGACAGTGTACCAAGCCTGCAACACTACCAGTGTCGTGCAACACACACCCAGACAATGTACCAAGCCTGCAACACTACCAGTGTCGTGCAACACACCCAGACAGTGTACCAAGCCTGCAACACTACCAGTTTTTGTGCAACACACACCCAGACAATTACCAACCTGCAACACTACCAGTGTCGTTTCAACACACACCCAACATGAACCAAGCCTGCCCAAAACTACCAGTGTTGTGCAACACACACCCAGACAATGTACCAAGCCTGCAACACTACCAGTGTCGTGCAACACACACCCAGACAGTGTACCAAGCCTGCAACACTACCAGTGTCGTGCAACACACACCCAGACAGTGTACCAAGCCTGCAACACTACCAGTGTCGTGCAACACACACCCAGTGTACCAAGCCTGCAACACTACCAGTGTCGTGCAACACACACCCAGACAGTGTACCAAGCCTGCAACACTACCAGGTCGTGCAACACACACCCAGACAGTGTTAAACCCAAACCTGCAACACTACCAGTGTTGTGCAACACACACCCAGACAGTGTACCAAGCCTGCAACACTACCAGTGTTGTGCAACACACACCCAGACAGTGTACCAAGCCTGCAACACTACCAGTGTCGTGCAACACACACCCAGACAGTGTACCAAGCCTTTCAACACACCAGTGTCGTGCAACACACACCCAGACAGTGTACCAAGCCTGCAACACTACCAGTGTCGTGCAACACACACCCAGACAGTGTACCAAGCCTGCAACACTACCAGTGTTGTGCAACACACACCCAGTGTACCAAGCCGCAACACTCCAGTGTTGTGCAACCCCACCACCCGACAGTGTACCAAGCCTGCAACACTACCAGTGTCGTGCAACACACACCCAGACAGTGTACCAAGCCTGCAACACTACCAGTGTCGTGCAACACACACCCAGACAGTGTACCAAGCCTGCAACACTACCAGTGTCGTGCAACACACAACCCAGACATGTACCAAGCCTGCAACACTACCAGTGTCGTGGGAAACACACAAACCCCGACAGTTTTACCAAGCCTGCAACACTACCAGTGTTGTGTAACACCCAGACAGTGTACCAAGCCTGCAACACTACCAGTGTTGTGCAACACCCAGACAGTGTACCAAGCCTGCAACACTACCAGTGTTGTGCAACACACACCCAGACAGTGTACCAAGCCTGTAACACTACCAGTGTTGTGCAACACACACCCAGACAGTGTACCAAGCCTGCAACACTACCAGTGTTGTGCAACACCCAGACAGTGTACCAAGGCTGCCCCAACACTACCAGTGTTGTTGCAACACACACCAGACAGTGTACCAAGCCTGCAACACTACCAGTGTTTTGCAACACCCAACAGTGTACCAAGGCTGCAACACTACCAGTGTTGTGCAACACACACCCAGACAGTGTACCAAGCCTGCAACACTACCAGTGTTGTGCAACACCCAGACAGTGTACCAAGCCTGCAACACTACCAGTGTCGTGCAACACACACCCAGACAGTGTACCAAGCCTGCAACACTACCAGTGTTGTGCAACACACACCCAGACAGTGTACCAAGCCTGCAAAAACTACCAGTGTCGTGCAACACACACACCCAGACAGTGTACCAACCTGCAACACTACCAGTGTCGTGCAACACACACCCAGACAGTGTACCAAGCCTGCAACACTACCAGTGTCGTGCAACACACACCCAGTGTACCAAGCCTGCAACACTACCAGTGTCGTGCAACACACACCCAGTGTACCAAGCCTGCAACACTACCAGTGTCGTGCAACACAGGAGGATACAGGATAAATAATTAACTGACCACCTCCAATCTGCCGGAAATATTGCAAGATGACGTGACTGTTGAGCAATGTGCAACACCGTCAACATTATGAAAAGTATAACGTATGTGCAAGACTTAAGTTCCTTTCTTGCTGTAAAGTATCGCCTACTTAGTAGGTTTCTTCAGTCGAGATTTAATTTACAGGTGATCAGTCCCCGAGCCTTGATAGGTGGTCAGTCCCTTAAGTTTGATTAAGGGACAACTTCCCATGGTCTATCAAGGTAAGGTAACCCAAAAATAAGAAAAACACATTTACCATCTTTCTTACAATGGGTGTCTTGCCAGAAGTGTTGAAAATACGTATAACTGGGAAGGACTTACTGTGAAATAGAGAAGCCTGGGGCAGGAGTACAGAGCCGAGAATACCCATACTAGCACCATCGTAACCTGGAACGCAAGATAACATAAGATAACAGAAGATTTTATTAGGATTTTTAACCCTAGAGGGTTAGCCACCCAGGATAACCCAGGGTAGGGAGTGTTAGTCACCCAGGATAACCCAGGGTAGGGAGTGTTAACCAGGATGCGACCCACACCAGTCCAGTAACACACAGGTATATATATATATATATTATATATATATATATATATATATATATATATATATATATATATATATATATATATATATATATATATATATATGTCGTGCCGAATATATAAAACTGGTCAATTAGCAAGAACTCATTTAAAATTAAGTCCTTTCTAAAATTTTCTCTTATACGTTTAAAGATATATTTTTTTCATTAATGTTAATGTAAAAATTTATAATTTTGCACCAAAAGAATCTTAGAAAACTTACCTAACCTTATTATAACAAGAACAATTTATTTTAGCCTAACCCAACTAAATATATTTTAGATTTGTTTACAATAATTTAATACTAAACAAACGCAGTGAAATATATTTTTTTCGGTAGGTTCAGAATGATTTTGGCGAAATTATTGCATACACAAATTTTCACTTGTCCTATATGGCAAGATGAATGTTCCTATTTAAGCCAAGATCGCAAGTTCTGCCTATTCGGCACGACATATATATATATATATATATATATATATATATATATATATATATATATATATATATATATATATATATATATATATATATATATATATATATATCACAGGAAACAATAGAGAGATTAAATCCTGGTTCCATTGTTGAGACTCCGGGGTACATATGGCTTGTGTGTACTCACCGATTTCTGTTTACGTGGTCGAGGTTTAGTTCCTGGCCCCGCCTTGTAGACTACTGTTATCGATAACATTGATTTCTGGCTTGTTAAACATTATCATATCTACTCTTGAAGCTGCGTCTCGAGTTTGCCTGTACCACTGCCTCATCCAAGTCATTCCACTTGTCAACCCGCCTGAGGCTAAAGATACTCTTCTTAACATTCCTATGGCTCATCCTGGTCCCTTGATCCTGGTCCCTTGATCCTGGTCCCTTGATTATGGTCCCTTGATTCTGGTCCCTTGATCCTGGTCCCTTGATCCTGGTCCCTTGATCCTGGTCCCTTGATCCTGGTCCCTTGATCCTGGTCCCTTGATCCTGGTCCCTTGATCCTGGTCCCTTGATCCTGGTCCCTTGATCCTGATCCCTTGATCCTGATCCCTTGATCCTGGTCCCTTGATCCTGGTCCCTTGATCCTGGTCCCTTGATCCTGGTCCCTTGATCCTGGTCCCTTGATCCTGATCCCTTGATCCTGGTCCCTTAATCCTGGTCCCTTGATCCTGGTCCCTTGATCCTGGTCCCTTGATCCTGGTCCCTTGATCCTGGTCCCTTGATCCTGGTCCCTTGATCCTGGTCCCTTGATCCTGGTCCCTTGATCCTGATCCCTTGATTCTGGTCCCTTGATCCTGGTCCCTTGATCCTGGTCCCTTGACCCTGGTCCCTTGATCCTGATCCCTTGATTCTGGTCCCTTGATCCTGGTCCCTTGATCCTGGTCCCTTGATCCTGGTCCCTTGATCCTGATCCCTTCATCCTGGTCCTGTTAATTCAGTGTGTCCCTATCTGCCTTTAAAAATTTCTCTGACGATTTTTTACGTTCTAATCAAGTCTCCCCTTGTTCCTCCCTGCTCCAGGGTCGTTAGGTCGTGTGTGTGTGGGGGGGGGTGAGTGTGTACACACCTAATTCACTTAACTGTGGTTTCAGGAGTCGGGTCATAGCTCCTGTCCCCGCCTCTTCACTAGTCGCTGCTAGGTCACTCTTCCTGCTCCATGAGCTTTATCATACCTCTTCTTAAAGCTATGTATGGATCCTGCCTCTGCAACATCACTCTCCAGATTGTTCCACTTTCTGACTACTCTGTGACTGAAGAAATACTTCCTAACATCCCTGTGACTCATCTGAGTCTTCAACTTCCAGTTGTGACCCCTTGTTGCTGTGTCCCCTTGTTGTTGTGTCCCCTTGTTGCTGTGTCCCCTTGTTGCTGTGTCCCCTTGTTGCTGTGTCCCCTTGTTGCTGTGTCCCCTTGTTGTTGTGTCCCCTTGTTGCTGTGTCCCCTTGCTGTTGTGTCCCCTTGTTGCTGTGTCCCCTTGTTGCTGTGTCCCCTTGTTGTTGTGTCCCCTTGTTGCTGTGTCCCCTTGTTACTGTGGCCCCTTGCTGTTGTGTCCCCTTGTTACTGTGGCCCCTTGCTGTTGTGTCCCCTTGTTGCTGTGTCTCCTTGTTGGTGTGACCCCTTGTTGCTGTGACCCCTTGTTGCTGTGTCCCCTTGTTGCTGTGTCTCCTTGTTGCTGTGTCCCCTTGTTGTTGTGTCCTCTTGTTGCTGTGTCCCCTTGTTGCTGTGTCTCCTTGTTGTTGTGACCCCTTGTTGCTGTGTCCCCTTGTTGCTGTGTCTCCTTGTTGTTGTGACCCCTTGTTGATGTGTCCCCTTGTTGCTGTGACCCCTTGTTGCTGTGTCTCCTTGTTGTTGTGACCCCTTGTTGCTGTGTCCCCATGTTGCTGTGTCCCCTTGTTGCTGTGTCTCCTTGTTGTTGTGACCCCTTGTTGCTGTGTCCCCCTGTTGCTGTGTCTCCTTGTTGTTGTGTTCCCTTGTTGCTGTGTCCCCTTGTTGCTGTGTCCCCTTGTTACTGTGTCCCCTTGTTGCAGTGTCCAGTTATTGCTGTGTCCCCTTGATGCTGTGTCCCCTTGTTACTGTGTCCCCTTGCTGTTGTGTCCCCTTGTTGCTGTGTCTCCGTGTTGCTGTGTCCCCTTGTTGCTGTGTCCCCTTGTTGCTGTGTCTCGTTGTTGCTGTGTCCCCTTGTTGTTGTGTCCCTTTGTTGCTGTGTCCCCTTGTTGTTGTGTCCCCTTGTTGCTGTGTCCCCTTGTTGCTATGTCCCCTTGTTACTGTGTCCCCTTTTTGTTGTGTCCCCTAGTTGCTGTGTCCCCTTGTTGCTGTGTCCCCTTGTGCTGTGTCCCCTTGTTGTTGTGTCCCTTTGTTGCTGTGTCCCCTTGTTGTTGTGTCCCCTTGTTGCTGTGACCCCTTGTTGCTGTGTCTCCTTGTTGCTGTGTCCCCTCGTTGCTGTGTCCCCTTGTTGCTGTGTCCCCTTGTTACTGTGTCCCCTTGTTGCAGTGTCCAGTTATTGCTGTGTCCCCTTGTTGCTATGTCCCCTTGTTACTGTGTACCCTTGCTGTTGTGTCCCCTTGTTGCTGTGTCTCCTTGTTGCTGTGTCCCCTTGTTGCTGTGTCCCTTGTTGCTGTGTCCCCTTGTTGCTGTGTCCCCTTGTTGCTGTATCCCCTTGTTACTGTGTCCCTTTGTTGCAGTGTCCAGTTATTGCTGTGTCCCCTTGTTACTGTGTCCCCTTGCTGTTGTGTCCCCTTGTTGCTGTGTCTCCTTGTTGCTGTGTCCCCTTGTTGCTGTGTCCCCTTGTTGCTGTGTCTCTTTGTTGCTGTGTCCCCTTGTTGCTGTGTCCCCTTGTTGCTGTGTCCCTTGTTGCTGTGTCCCCTTGTTGCTGTGTCCCCTTGTTACTGTGTCCCCTTGTTACTGTGTCCCCTTGTTGCTGTGTCCCCTTGTTGTTGTGTCCCCTTGTTGCTGTGTCTCCTTGTTGCTGTGACCTCTTGTTGCTGTGTCCCATTGTTGCTGTGTCCAGTTATTGCTGTGTCCCCTTGTTGCTGCGTCCCTTGTTGCTGTGTCCCCTTGTTGTTGCGTCCCTTGTTGTTGCGTCCCCTTGTTGCTGTGTCCCCTTGCTGTTGTGTTCCTTTGTTACTGTGTCCCCTTGCTGTTGTGTCCCCTTGTTGCTGTGTCCCCTTGTTGTTGTGTCCCTTTGTTGCTGTGTCCCCTTGTTGCTGTGTCCCCTTGTTGCTGTGTCCCCTTGTTGCTATGTCCCCTTGTTGCTGTGTCCCCTTGTTGCTGTGTCCCCTTGATGCTGTGTCCCATCTCTGGAACATGCTGTTCCTGTCCACCATGTCGATTCCTCTCAGTATTTTACAGGTCGTTATCATATCCCTCCTGTCCTCATGTGTCGTCAGGTTGATTTCCCTTAACCTCTCCTCGTAGGACAATCCCCTTAACTCCGGGACTAGTCTTGTTGCAAACCTTTGCACTTTCTCTAATTTCTTGACTTCTAGAATAATGCACAGTAGTATACTACCATAATAAATAGTAATATACCACTATGATAGTCATTTCTGCCTGTTGGCTTCCTAGATATTGCCGTACCCACTCCTCAAGCTGTGCTAAGAATTTCCAGTCGACATTGTGGGTTAGGTGGAAAACCCATTCACATTAATCGCTTCTTTTTATATAACAATTACAAATAATATTATTAATAAAACTAAAATAATAATAATAACAATAATAATAATAATAATAATAATAATAATAATAATAATAATAATAATAATAATAACTGAGTAAGTGTGGGTGTCACATTTACGAAATGAGAGCTCATTAAGGAGACTTGTGGGAAATTCTACCTTGTGAAGTCTGGTAATATATTTATGTGGTGAAAAGGTACACACACACACACACACACACACACACACACACCCACACACACACACACACACACACACACACACACACACACACACACACAAAATACTGAGAGGAATTGACAAGGTGGACAAAGACAGGATGTTCCAGAGATTGGACACAGTAACAAGGGGACACAGTTGGAAGCTGAAGACACAAATGAATCACAGGGATGTTAGGAAGTATTTCTTCAGCCACAGAGTAGCCAGTAAGTGGAATAGTTTGGGAAGCGATGTAGTGGAGGCAGGATCCATACATAGCTTTAAGCAGAGGTATGATAAAGCTCACGGCTCAGGGAGAGTGACCTAGTAGCGATCAGTGAAGAGGCGGGGCCAGGAGCTCGGATTCGACCCCCGCAACCTCAACTAGGTGAGTACAACTAGGTGAGTACACACACACACACACACACACACACACACATACACACACACACACACACAGGGTGCAGAGACACTGTGTGTGCCACTAACAACAATCTTCAACACATCCCTTGAAACTGGACAACTACCTGAGGTATGGAAGATGGCAAATGTAGTTCCCATTTTTAAGAGACAGATACGAGGCACTAAACTACAGACCTGTGTCTCTGACGTGTATAGTATGTAAAGTCATGGAGAAGATTATCAGGAGGAGAGTGGTGGAGCACCTGGAACGGAACAAGATTAACAACAACCAGCACGGATTCATGGAAGGCAAATCCTGTGTTACAACTCTTCTGGAGTTTTATGACAAAGTAACAGAAGTAAGACATGAGAGAGAGGGGTGGGTTGATTGCATTTTCTTGGACTGCAGGAAGGCCTTCGACACAGGTCCTCACAAGAGATTGGTGCAGAAGCTAGAGGATCAGGCGCATATAACAGGAAGGGCACTGCAATGGATCAGAGAATACCTGACAGTGGGCGCCTGTGACGAGCGGGGTCCCACAGGGGTCAGTCCTAGGATCAGTGCTATTCTTGGTATATGTGAATGACATGATGGAAGGGATAGACTCTGAAGTGTCCCTGTTCGCAGATGATGTGAAGTTGATGAGAAGAATTAAATCAGATGAGGACCAGACAGGTCTACAAAGAGACCTGGACAGGCTGGACACCTGGTCCAGCAACTGGCTTCTCGAATTCAACCCCGCCAAATGCAAAGTCATGAAGATTGGGGAAGGGCAAAGAAGACCGCAGACAGAGTATAGGCTAGGTGGACAAAGACTGCAAACCTCACTCAAGGAGAAAGATCTTGGGGTGAGTATAACACCGAGCATGTCTCCGGAAGCACACATTAACTAGATAACCTGCTGCAGCATACGGGCGCCTAGCAAGCCTGAGAATAGCGTTTTGATATCTTAGTAAGGAATCGTTCAAGACACTGTACACTGTGTACGTCAGGCCCATACTGGAGTATGCAGCACCTGTTTGGAACCCACACCTGGTCAAGCACGTCGAGAAATTAGAGAAAGTACAAAGGTTTGCAACAACGTTAGTTCCAGAGCTCAGGGGAATGTCCTACGATGAAAGGTTGAGGGAAATCGGACTGACGACACTGGAGGATAGGAGGGTCAAAGGAGACATGATAACGATATACAAAATACTGCGTGGAATAAATAAGGTGGACAGAGACAGGATGTTCCAGAGAGGGGACACAGGGACAAGTGGTCACAACTGGAAGCTGAAGACTCAGACGAGTCACAGGGACGTTAGGAAGTATTTCTTCAGTCATAAGAGTGGTCAAGAAGTGGAATAGTCTAACAAGTGATGTAGTGAAGGCAGGAACCATACAAAGCTTTATGACGAGGTATGACAAAGCTCAAGAAGCAGAGAGAGGACCTAGTAGCGATCAGTGAAGAGGCGGGGCCAGGAGCTGAGTCTCGACCCCTGCAACCACAATTAGGTGAGTACAATTAAGTGAGTACACACACACAAACATAGACATCCCGAGTTCAAACCTAATTACCCCCCATAACATGTTTAAGACAAAACCCAATTCCCTTTTACCTTCTGAAGAGGACCCCAGGTGAGGACAGACACATACAGCGTCTCACAGTTTATGTGGACTATGTCTTTTGGGTTTACTTAAGCTCTTACAAGAGTTTCTTTCTCCTTATAGTTTAAACAACCAGAGATTTGTGCGTTTAAAGGTAAGCTTAATATAAGTGTGGTAAGTGTAGGTGTGGGAGCACTGCAGGTGTATGGGAATTACAGGTGTGTGGGTATAACAGGTGTGCTGGAATGGAAGATGGTGGTTAGTCCGTCAACTCTTGAGGGACTGACCACCTACCATCAAGACTGAGGGACTGACCACCTACCATCAAGACTGAGGGACTGACCACCTACCATCAAGACTGAGGGACTGACCACCTACCATCAAGACTGAGGGACTGACCACCTACCATCAAGACTGAGGGACTGACCACCTACCATCAAGACTGAGGGACTGACCACCTACCATCAAGACTGAGGGACTGACCACCTACCATCAAGACAGAGGGACTGACAACCTACCATCAAGACTGAGGGACTGACCACCTACCACCAAGACTGAGGGACTGACCACCTACCATCAAGACTGAGGGACTGACCACCTACCATCAAGACTGAGGGACTGACCACCTACCATCAAGACTGAGGAACTGACCACCTACCATCAAGACTGAGGGACTGACCACCTACCATCAAGACTGAGGGACTGACCACCTACCATCAAGACTGAGGGACTGACCACCTACCATCAAGACAGAGGGACAGACCACCTACCATCAAGACTGAGGGACTGACCACCTACCATCAAGACAGAGGGACAGACCACCTACCATCAAGACTGAGGGACTGACCACCTACCATCAAGACTGAGGGACTGACCACCTACCATCAAGACTGAGGAACTGACCACCTACCATCAAGACTGAGGGACTGACCACCTACCATCAAGACAGAGGGAATAACCACCTACCATCAAGACTGAGGGACTGACCACCTACCATCAAGACAGAGGGACTGACCACCTACCATCAAGACAGAGGGACTGACCACCTACCATCAAGACTGAGGAACTGACCACCTACCATCAAGACAGAGGAACTGACCACCTACCATCAAGACTGAGGGACTGACCACCTACCATCAAGACAGAGGGACTGACCACCTACCATCAAGACAGAGGGACTGACCACCTACCATCAAGACAGAGAGACTGACCACCTACCATCAAGACTGAGGAACTGACCACCTACCATCAAGACAGAGGGACTGACCACCTACCATCAAGACAGAGGAACTGACCACCTACCATCAAGCCAGAGGGACTGACCACCTACCATCAAGACTGAGGAACTGACCACCTACCATCAAGACAGAGGGACTGACCACCTACCATCAAGACAGAGAGACTGACCACCTACCATCAAGACTGAGGAACTGACCACCTACCATCAAGACAGAGGGACTGACCACCTACCATCAAGACAGAGGAACTGACCACCTACCATCAAGCCAGAGGGACTGACCACCTACCATCAAGACTGAGGGACTGACCACCTACCATCAAGACTGAGGGACTGACCACCTACCATCAAGACAGAGGGACTGTCCACCTACCATCAAGACTGAGGGACTGACCACCTACCGTCAAGACAGAGGGAGTGACCACCTACCATCAAGACTGAGGGTCTGACCACCTACCATCAAGACAGAGGGACTGACGACCTACCATCAAGACTGAGGGACTGACCACCTACCATCAAGACAGAGGACTGACCACCTACCATCAAGACTGAGGGACTGACCACCTACCATCAAGACTGAGGGACTGACCACCTACCATCAAGACAGAGGGACTGACCACCTACCATCAAGACAGAGGGACTGACCACCTACCATCAAGACAGAGAGACTGACCACCTACCATCAAGACAGAGGGACTGACCACCTACCATCAAGACTGAGGGACTGACCACCTACCATCAAGACAGAGAGACTGACCACCTACCATCAAGACTGATGGACTGGCCACCTACCATCAAGACTGAGTGACTGACCACCTACCATCAAGACAGAGGGACTGACCACCTACCATCAAGACTGAGGGACTGACCACCTACCATCAACACAGAGGGACTGACCACCTACCATCAAGACTGAGGGACTGACCACCTACCATCAACACAGAGGGACTGACCACCTACCATCAAGACTGAGGGACTGACCACCTACCATCAAGACAGAGGGACTGACCACCTACCATCAAGACTGAGGGACTGACCACCTACCATCAAGACAGAGAGACTGACCACCTACCATCAAGACTGAGGGACTGGCCACCTACCATCAAGACTGAGTGACTGACCACCTACCATCAAGACAGAGGGACTGACCACCTACCATCAAGACTGAGGGACTGACCACCTACCATCAACACAGAGGGACTGACCACCTACCATCAAGACTGAGGGACTGACCACCTACCATCAACACAGAGGGACTGACCACCTACCATCAAGACTGAGGGACTGACCACCTACCATCAAGACAGAGGGACTGACCACCTACCATCAAGACTGAGGGACTGACCACCTACCATCAAGACAGAGGGACTGACAACCTACCATCAAGACAGAGGGACTGACCACCTACCATCAAGACTGAGGGACTGGCCACCTACCATCAAGACTGAGGGACTGACCACCTACCATCAAGACAGAGGGACTGACAACCTACCATCAAGACAGAGGGACTGACCACCTACCATCAAGACAGAGCGACTGACCACCTACCATCAAGACAGAGGGACTGACCACCTACCATCAAGACAGAGGGACTGACCACCTACCATCAAGACAGAGGGACTGACAACCTACCCTCAAGACAGAGGGACTGACCACCTACCATCAAGACTGAGGGACTGACCACCTACCATCAAGACTGAGGGACTGACCACCTACCACCAAGACAGAGGGACTGACCACCTACCATCAAGACAGAGGGACTGACCACCTACCATCAAGACAGAGGGACTGACCACCTACCATCAAGACAGAGCGACTGACCTAGAGAAGTGTGTCAGTATACTAGACATGTCAGCATAACAGGTGTGAGACACAGGTGTAGCACCAATAATGCACAGAGAGAGAGAGAGAGAGAGAGAGAGAGAGAGAGAGAGAGAGAGAGAGAGAGAGAGAGATATACTTACTATCATATTCCTGCGTGTAAGTAGCGTCTTGGCCTTGAGAGGTTCAACAATGGCCAGGTATCTTTCTCCACTGACCACCACCAGGATGATCACGGATGCTGTGTAACTCAGCTGGTTGACGAACTGGTACATCAAGCACAGGAACTCACCGAAGTACCAGCTGTAACACAACAATGACATCTTAATACTTCACAAATACCTGATGTACCAGCTGGGAGGTGCGACAGACATCCTACGAGATGTTTTGGTACCTGAGAAGCTCAGGAGTACCAACTGTAACACAAGAATGACATCTTAGAAGGCGATTCGAAACTACAATTTAGGATTAGAAACTACAATTTAGGATTAGAAACTACAATTTAGGATTAGAAACTACAATTTAGGATTAGAAACTACAATTTAGGATTAGAAACTACAATTCAGGATTAGAAATTACAATTCAGAATTAGAAACTACAATTCAGAATTAGAAACTACAATTTAGGATTAGAAACTACAATTCAGAATTAGAAACTACAATTCAGGATTAGAAACTACAATTTAGGATTAGAAACTACAATTCATAATTAGAAACTACAATTCAGAATTAGAAACTACAATTTAGGATTAGAAACTACAATTTAGGATTAGAAACTACAATT